GCTTTTGTTTGGGGAGTTTTTGGAGTCTCCCGATTTAAAAGTCTTGGCTCTCACTACATAGGCCAGGCTGACCTCGAACTCATAAAGATCCTCCTGTCTTTACCACCCAGCGCTGAGATTAAAGGGGTGCACCACCATGTCTGGCCTCTTTGTTTTTGCTTTCGAAGTCTTGTTCAAACACCCTTACCTGATCCAAGCCATGCATGAAGTGTCCGTTTTCTTCTAGCAGTTTGGTAGTTTGGGGCCTTACATTTAAGTCCTCAAAATACTTAGTTTTGGATATATGTACGGAGAACCACTAAAAAGAGGCTCTGAGGGTGGGTCATGAGCTGACTTATCCTCACTCTGGCAGTCAGGAGGCACTAGGTTTCCGGGGTCGGGTAGATAGACTGTGTGGGAGGCAATGGCAGTGGTCTGGGTGAGTGACACTGGCGGACTTTAGTGAGTGATGGTGGCTTGACCCAGGATGCTGGCAGTTGCCTGCGAAGCAGTTGAAGGAAGTGTGGGCACTGGGGAAGACACACTAGAACCAGCTGGTGGTTAGCAAAATCCTGCATTCTCTGTTTTGAAAGGAAACACAGCTTCTAATGCATTTCTAACCCCTTAGCAAAGGCAAACTATTCCAGAAGCAACCAGAGCCTGCTCTAGTATGCCTAAGCTAAGAGGACCCTCCAAAGAGTGTTGCTTGCAATGGGTGGTATCCCTTCAAACAGTTCTCCGGCTTAGCTGTTGATTCAGCTATTGGAGGGGTTTGAACGGACAGCCTGTCGGGCGTGGATGACTCTGTACCTACTCTCCTGAGTTCTGAAGTCACATCAGAGCTCTAATACTTCTTTGCCTGTTTGACCAGGATTCTGCTTCAACAGCAGCGTGTGGCACTTGGATGTTCTGAAAAGATTCTACTTCTAATTAAGCATTATTCCGATTCAGAGGAGGGCTGTGGGAGGCAAGTGAGATCAAAGCGACGGTGTGGGCTGTCTAATGAGGAGACTGAACTTCAAAACCAAGAACTTAAGTGTGTGCTGGTCCAGCCAGTGCTGTCAAGGTCGTTTCCAGCTAGTGGGTCTAAGAGAACTGTCTCTTACTCCCCAGAGGGGAGTTCAGTTTCCAAAGCAGAGCCTTGAGCTGGGCCCTCCGGGGCCCACAGCCCTCTCATTTACAGGGGTCAAAAATGGAGACAAGTTGACCTTAACCTAAGACTGAATGACAGCCTGAAGAGCCACTCGCTGACCTGAGAGTACATTTGAGCCATCCGACACCTCTAAACCGGGATACTGCACCCTCTGCCTGTCACACATGAAGAATCCAGGCTGTAAAGGGAAATCATTTCTCAAGAAAAGTACAGTTACTTCACATTGAGGGCTGACAACGTCATTCGTTTAAAGTAAGCACTGAAAATCTGTCGTGGTTGCGTTAAACCAGCAGGTAAACAAAACCTTACACTCTTCTCCATAGCATTGGACCTCTTGCCAAGGGAAGTCTTGGGGCTCGCTTTGGAAGGTCGGGGCAATTGGTAACGGAGATCACTGCAGCCTTCCGCCACGGACACTGCACTCTTCTAATCAGACTATATCCATCCTCAGGAACAGGATGGTGACGTCTGGAAATACATAGCAGATCCAGTGGAGGGTGAAGGGGACAGATGAGTTAAGAAGGCCCTTTTCTGGCTGGGCGGTGGTGGTGCACGCCTTTAATCCCAGCACTCGGGAGGCAGAGCCAGGCAGATCTCTGTGAGTTCGAGGCCAGCTTGGGCTACCAAGTGAGTTCCAGGAGAGGCGCAAAGCTACACAGAGAAACCCTGTCTCGAAAAACCAAAAAAAAAAAAAAAAAAAAAAAAAAGAAGGCCCTTTTCTGACAGTCATGATGATGTCACCTTGGGGGCAGCATATGTTCCTATACTCACTGCTGGCTAATGGAATGCATGACAAGGAATGTCATCTTTAAAATTTTTGTTTTGGCAAAAAAAGAAAGAAAAAAACAGGATAGCCAAAACAATCCTGTACAATACAAGAATTTCCAGGGGTATCACCATCCCTAATTTCAAACTATATTACAGAGCTATAGTAATAAAAACTGCATGGTATTGGCATAAAAACAGGCAGGTGGATCAATGGAGTCAAATCAAAGACCCAGACATAAACCCACACACCTATGGACACCTGATTTCTTATAAAGAAAACAGAAATATACAATGGAAAAAAGAAAGCATCTTCAACAAATGGTGCTGGTCTAACTGGATGTCTGCATGGAGAAGATTGCAAATAGATCCAATTCTATCACACTGCACAAAACTCAAGTCCAAGTGGATCAAAGACCTCAACATAAATCCAGATACACTGAACCTGGTAGAAGAGAAGGTGGAGAATAGCCTTGAATGCATTGGCATAGGAGATAACTTCCAGAACAGAACATCAATAGCACAGACACTAAGATCAACAATTAATAAATGGGACCTCATGAAACTGAAAAGCTTCTGTAAGGCAAAAGACAGCATCGACAGGACAAAACAGCAGCCCACAGAATGGGAAAAGATCTTCACCAATCCTACATCTGATAGACAGCCAATTTCCAAAAACTAAACATCAACAAACCAAATGATCCAGTTGTGTTTTTTTTTTTTTTTTTTTTTTTTTTTTTTTTTTTTTTTTAAGGAGAGTACAGAGCTAAACAGAGAATTCTCAGTAGAGGAATCTCAAATGGCTGAGAAACTCTTAAAGAAATATTCAACACCCTTATCCACCAGAGAAATGCAAATCAAAACTACTTTGAAATTCCATCTTACACCTGTCAGAATGTCTAAGATCAAAAACAAGTGACAGCTCATGCTGGCAAGGATGTGGAGCAAGGGGAACACTCCTCCATTGCTGGTGGGAGAGCAACCTTTATGAAAAACAATATAGTAGTTCCTCAGAAAATTGGGTATCAATCTACCTCAAGACTCAGCTATACAACTCTTCGGTATATACCCAAAGGACACCCTACCACAAAGACACTTACTCAACTATGTTCATAGCCTCTTTATTCATAATAGCCAGAAGATAGAAACAACCTAGGTATTCCTCAACCAATGAATGGATAAAGAAAATGTGGTACATTTACACAATGAAGTAATACTCAGCTGTTAAAAAATGACATCATAAATTCGTAGACAAATGGATAGAACTAGAAAATAATCATCCTGAGTGAGGTAACCCAGACCCAGAAAAACAAACATGGTGTGTGCTCACTTGTAAGTGGACATTAGCTGTTAAGTAAAGGATAACCAGGCTACAATCCATAGACTCAGAGAGGCTAGGTAACAAGGAGGGCTCAGGGGAAGATGCACAGATCTCCCTGGGCAGGGGAAATAGAATAGATTTTGCAGGTAGACTGGGGGATGGCGGGGATGGGAACAGGAGGGATCAGGCTGGGGGGGGCGGGCGTGGAGGGAGAGAGTTAAAGGAGAGATGGCTGAAACTGGGGGGCAATGTGGAAACCTAGTGCAGTAGAAACTCCCTGGAATCTACGAGAGTGGCCCTAGGGAAGACTCCTAGCAACGGGAGATGCAGGGTCTGAATCGGCCATCTTCTGTAACCAGGCAAGGCTTCCAGTGGAGGGACTGGGACAACAGCCCAGCCACAAAACCTTCGACCTACAATTTATCCTACCTGCAAGATGTGTTGGGGCGATGGTGGCACAGTACTGGTGGGAGTGAGCAACCAGTGACTGGTCCAACTGAGGTCCACAAGAGGAAGCCCACACCTGACACTCCCTGGATGGCCAGGAACCAGAGGCTGGATAGCCCAGAGACAGGACAGAACCAAACACAACTGTCCAAAAAAGAAAAAAAAAGCTAATGAAATGATTCCTAACGACACTCGGCTATACTCATAGATCGGAGCCTAGCCCAATCATCAGAGAGGCTTCCTCCAGCAGCTGATGGCAACAGATGCAGAAACCCACATTAGGCGGAGCTCGGGGAAGCCCGAGGAAGAGAGAAAGGAAGGATTGTAGGAGCCGGAGGGGTTGAGGACACCAGGACAACATGGCCCACAGAATCAACTAAGCAGGGATCATGGGGGCTCCCAGAGACTGAAGTGGCAATAGTCTGTGCTAGGTCCTCCGCACACATGCTGTGGTTGTTTAGCTTGGTGCTCTTCTGGGACTCCTAAGAGTGGAAGTGGGGGGCTGTCTCTGACTCTCGTCTCTGCTCTTGGGACCCTTTTCCTCCTAGTGGGTTGCCTTGTCCAGCCTTGATATGGGGTTTCGTGCCCAGTCTTTTTGTAACTTGCTCTGCTGTGTTCGGTTGATATTCCTGGGAGCCCTGCTCTTTTCTGAAAAGAAACGGAGGAGGAGTAGATCTGGGGGAGAGGGGCAGTAGGGGGGTGGGGCGGGGATGGGGGGAGTGAAGAGAGGGGAAACTGCTGTCAGGATGTAAAGTATGAAAGAAGAATAAATAATTTTTTTGTTTTGTTAGAATATGTTGGTTCTACATAATAATGGATTTCATACATGCACGCTCACATGCATGCTTCCTCCCCACCCTATGCTGACCACCTCCGGCTCCTCCCAACTAGCCCCTCACACTCTCATGGTTGTGTTCAGGGGAACTCAGCCCGGCTTCTTTAAGGTTATGAGTGCGAGTTAGTTTCCAGAAGCATGGCGGCTACTACACTGAAGGAAGGCTCTCGCTGTTCCTCATCTCTGACCTGTGTTAGCATCAGGTAGGGGTGGGGCCCCATGAGCTCTTTGCTCTTACTTCTTGCCTCTGTTTGGTGAGAATGTGGGGGAAGGAGCAGCTCACATCTTCTGTGGCCCAGAACCACCTCTCCCCTCACTGTCCCTGGCTTCTATGTCCTAGCAGCACGCTGTCTCGGCCAGCACTGGCCCCTCCCTCCCCACTCTCCCACCCCGCCCCAGTCCTCCAGCACAGGGCGGGGTCATCCGCCTTGATCATCCCTCCCACGGTGCAAGCGGATGAGAAATGCGCTTTCTCCAAACGCCACTTCAGAAAGCTCAGTCAGAGAGTTGTGGGTTTTTTTGTTTTCATTTTTAATTCAGACCACTTATTTTTTGGTAATAAAAATTGAGTCGTTGCTTCAAAGAGAGGGGTTTTAAACAGAGGCGATTTTATCTGGAGACCGTGACTGCCACCTGGTGGATGATATTAGTTGCGCAACTGCAAAAAGGCTTTGCTTTCAGAGTGGACCATTCCTATTTCTCCATTGTCTTCTGGATGGTCTCCTTAGAAGAGCAGTTGAGTTGGAGAGGACACAGAGGCGACTGCGACACTGTGTGCGAGCGCCATTACAGACACAGTCTGAAACAGGGTGAGAGAATGTGGGTGCTGGAGGCTCGCTCCCTGCATTTGAACCCTGTAGTTCTAGAACTTTCTGTGGCGCTGACTGAGCTGTTTAACCACTTCTCTGTTTGCCTCTCCCTTATCTGTTAAAAAAAAAAAAAAATCTGCCAGTAGCAGTCCCTACCTTAAAAATAATCCTCCTCCCTCATCCAAGGTTTCGCTTACCCGTGGTCAGCCTCGGAGAGCAAGAAATGCAGAATCATGAGCCATTCTAGGCAGCCCGATCTCACTCAGGACATGAATCCTTTTGTCCGGCTCACGCTTCCTACCTGTTTAGTCATCTCAGGACTCCAGCACAGCGGGGCTTATTTTAAATAACCCTGTTTTCCTTTACAGCGGCCCCACGGTCCAAGAGTGGTGACGCTGGTAATTCAGCTGTGCCGGACCGAAGCCGGATAGTACGCCGAGTAAAAGGGAGAGTTGATCATGTGTGTATGGAAAGGAGGAAACAGACTCTGTGTGGCGGGCTTGGTAGTATCCAAGTTTTCAGGTAGCCAATGGGTGTCTTAAAAGGTTCCGCCTGTGGATAGAGGGAACCCCAGGGCCTATGTTTCAGGACAGCTGTAGGAATTAAATATTTACTCCATAGAAGCACCTAGCACTGACCTGCATCACAAAATCTGCTCACAAATGTTCCTTGGTGGTAGCCCAAGGCCCTCCCCGCTGCCTGCCAGGGAGGAGGCTGCCCCACGAGGGAGGCCCAGTGACCCCCATAAGTGACCCTGCACCACCTCCTCCAGCTCCCCAGCTCAGCCTCCCAACCCCCCAACAAAACCCTTCTTGCCACCCACTCAGAACTCCATGCCTCTTCCATTAGCTCCTCTGGCTCTGAACGCTCTAAAGCACTGCTCACTGACTGCCAGGGACCCTCCAGGGTCTGACTATCCTTATGGTGACCCCATGCTTCCTCTCCAAAGTCCCGCTCTCAACCTAACAGACACCCTCCAGCTGCCCCATGAGGCCTGGAGACCCAGGCTAGCAAGCCTACACCTCAGCCTTCTGGCCCCTCTCTGCCTTGGACTCCCCAAAGCCTCACTCACCCATCAGGGACCACATGCCTCTTCTCCCTGCCCCTTCCTGTCTGGGACTACCTCCCCAGCCACCTGCATAGGACTTCCTGCCACTGCACAAGACTGGGTACATTTGGCCTGTGTTGTGGGCCAAAACATAACATTAAAAAAGTAACCAGCAACCTAACTCCAGATGCCTCATAATATAGCAATAAGGAAAAGCAAGACAATATAGCTTCCTCCCTAGGAATCACTAGTCCCATAGTATAGTCTCAAAGGGAGGACCTGAGACAAAATGCAGGAACCAGAGTTCAAAAGGACAGTTGTAAACATGTCCAACAAATTCAAAGAAAACACAGGTAAATCCCTGAATGAATGTAAGGGGATACAAATGAGCAGACTGAAGCCCCCGAACACACACACACACACACACACACACACACACACACACACACACAAGAACCCACAAACAACTGAATGAAATGAAGATATGAGTGAACTCGGTGTAATGTTCTTCCAACTGAGTTATTTTGGGGTCATGCAGGCCAAGTAACAGTCAACAGAGACAGAAATACTGAAGGAGAAAAAAAATAATCGGAAATGAAAACTTCAAGTAAAAACTTCAGTGGAAAGCCTCGCCTAAAGAATGGATCATGTAGAACACAGAATAGCAAGGCTTGAAGGCAAGAGAGAGGAACTGGATTTTCAAAGAAAATGATAAAAATATAAAAAGCCCATGAATAGAATATTCCAGATCTTTGCAACACCATGAATAGACCAAATCTATGAACATAGCAATGGGAAAAGAATTCCAGAGCTGGGACAAAGAAAATACTTCCAATAAAATCATAGAAGAAAATTTCTCAAATCTAGAAAATTGATGTCTGTCAAGGTATAAGAGACACACATGACACCAAAACAGACAGGACCAGAAAAGATATTCTATGTACTATATTATAGTCAAAATCCTAAATATACAGAGCAAAGGAAGGTCATTGAAAGCTGCAGGAGAGAAAGCCTGTGCCACATAGAAAGGCACACTCGTCAGAATAACAGCTGACTTCTCAATGGAAACTTTAAAAGGCAGAAGAGATTGAAGCTTGTGACTTAAGCCTTGAAAGAACACAGATGCCAAGCCAGACTACTTACCCAGTAAAACTATCTGTTACAATTGAGGGAGAAAGAAAAACTCCCCATTGTAGCTAGAGTTTTCCTGCCTGGCCCACAGTCAGGATAAATCTCTGCCACCCGCCAGTCCCACAACCGCTCAGACCCGACCAAGTAAACACAGAGACTTATATTGGTTTCAAACTGTATGGCCGTGGCAGGCTTCTTGCTAACTGTTCTTACAGCTTAAATTAATCCATTTCTATTAATCTATACCTTGCCACGTGGCTTGTGGCTTACCGGTACTTTACATCTTCCTTGTCCTGATGGCGGCTGGCAGTGTCTCCCTCACCCAGCTTCCTGCTCTCTCAATTCTCCTCTCTGTTAGTCCCGCCTATACTTCCTGCCTGGCCACTGCCAATCAGTGATTTATTCATTGACCAATCAGCAACACATTTGACATACAGACCATCCCACAGCACCCCATGATACAAACAGGCTAAAGAACTTTGTGATCACTAAGCCAGCCCTACAGAGAGTGCAGGATGGAATACTTCAGAATGAAGGGGAGGACACACACATCCAAGACTCTTCAATGAAAAAACATACACAATGCTAGGATAGATGATGTACTAACTGAGATCAAGAAAACAAACACCATAAACATCAACAAAATAACAAGAATTAATACATACCGTTGGATAAATCTGAATATTGATAGGCTTAATTCTCTAATTAAAAGGTATAGACTAGTCAATTGGATTAGAAAACAGAATGCATCTTTTTGTCATCTACATGGAACACACCTGTCTTAGTGAGAGTTTCTATTGTGGTGAAGAGATACCATGACCACAGTAACTCTTATAAAACATTTAATTGGGGTAGTGTTGTGGGATGGTCTTTCTGTATGCTGTGAATATGTGTTGCTATGATTGGTTAATAAAGAAGCTGCTCTGGCCTGTGGTGAGTCAGGTTATAGCCAGGCAGGAAATCTAAGAGAGAGACGGGAAGAAGAAAGGAGAGTAGTAGGAGATGCCAGCTTGCTGCCCAAGGAGCAACAAGATGCCAGCAGACTGGTAATGCCACGGCCAAGTGGCAACAAACAGATTAATAGGAATGGGTTAATTTGAGAGGGAAAAGCTAGCTATCAAGAAGTTTGAGCCATAGGCCATACCGTTTGTAAATAATGTAAGCCTCTGTGTGTTTACTTGGGACCAAGCAGCTGCAGGACACCGGTGGGAGAGATTCTTCCCAATACAGGGTGGCTTGCTTACAGTTTCAGAAGTTTAGTCCATTATCATGATAGTAGGGAGCATGGCAGCATGCAGGCAGATGTGGTGCTGGCTACATCTTGATATGCAGGCCACAGGAAATCAACTGAGATACTGGGCCATATCCTGCACATAGGAGACCTCAAAGCCTGCCCCTACAGTGACACACTTCCTCCATACCCACTCCAACAAAGCCACACCTCCTAATAGTGCCACTCCTTATGAGATTATGGGGCCAATTACATTCATTACCATGACACTTCCAACAAGACCCTGCCTTAGTGTGAAAGGATGGAGAGAAGTATTCTGAGCAAATGGGACCAGGACTCAAGCAGGCTCTGCTCTTCCAGTATCTAACAAAAAATAGACTGAAAGCCAAAACTAATCAGACAAGGAAAGATTCTTCAATCTGATCAAATGAGCAATTCATTAAGAGATGTGACAATTTTACACACACCAAACTCAGGTGCACCTAATTTCATAAAACAAATACTACTAGACATTGAAGCCACAGATGCCAACACATTAATGCCAACACAGTAGTAGTGACTTCAATGATACACTCACACCAAGGGACAAGTCATCTAGATAATAAATAAATAGAGAAACAGTGGCACTAAGGGATGCCACTGAGAAAATGGTTTTAGCAGATATCTACAGAACATGCCACCCAAGCACAGCAGAATGTAGACTCTTCTTAGCTGTCTATAGAACATACTCTAAAGTAGATCACATACTAGGATGCAAGGGAAGTCTTAATAAGTACAGAAGTTAAGGTAACTTCGTGCATTCATTCAGACCACAATGGAACAAAATATCATCAGTTGCTGGAAATCAATAGTAAAAGACACTACAGAAAATACATGAACACATGAAGATTGAATAACACAAGACTGAGCAACAAATTGATCAATGAAGAAATCAAAATGGACATTTAAAAATTTATATAATTAAATAAAAATAAGGATACTACATACCCAAACCTACGGGGCACAATTAAGGTAGTGCTAAGAGGGAGATTTATAGCTCTAAGTTCCTTAAATCACAGAATGAGAGACATCTCAAATTAATAACTTAGTGATGAACCTTAAAGCACTGAAAAAATAAGATCCCATTTATTTTTAACTAAACCCAAAGGTAGTAGCTATAAAGAAATAACTAAGGCCAGGACAGAAATAAACAAAATAAAAATGAAAAAGATTAAAGAATCAATGAAAATATGAGCTGATTCTTTGAAAAGATGGATAAGATTGACAAACCCTTGGACAAATTAATAGAAAGATGAAAGATCCAAATTAATAAGATTAGATATGGAAAAAGGAGACATTACAACAGATGCCAAAGGAACTGGTTAAGCTAGAGTCATCAGAGAGGAAGGAGCCTCAGTTGAGGAAATGCCTCCATGAGATCCAGCTGTAAGGCATTTTCTCAATTTGTGAACAATGGAGGAGGGCCCAGCCCATGGTGGGTGGTGCCATCCCTGGGCTGCTGGTCCTGGGTTCTATATGAAAGCAGGCTGAGCAGGTCAGGGGAAGCAAGCCAGTAAGCAGCACTCCTCCATTGCCTCTGCATCAGTTCCTGCCTCCAGGTTCCAGCCCTTGAGTTCCTGTCCTGTCTTCCTCCAACAATGGAGTGTGACCTGGAAACATAAGCCAAATAAACCCTTTCTTCTCCAATTTGCTTTTTGGTCATGGTGTTTTGTTGTAGCAGTAGAAACCCTAACTTAAGACACCAACTAAATTCAAAAAAGCATAAGATCATACCTTTAAAAACCTATACTCCTCGACCAAACTGGAAAAAAGAAAAGAAAAGAAAAAGAAAAAGACTGTCTGAATGTCTTGATGATTTTGACCTAAGTGGAGAAAAACTCAAAGCATCCCCACTAAACTAAAGACTAACAGTGTCCACTCTTCTCATCCCTATTCAACACAATGCTTGACATCATAGCCAGAACAGTAAGATAAGATGGGGAAACGAAAGGAGTACAGAAGTCAAGTGTCTCTAGTTGCAGGCAACGTAATTCTAAAATCAGGGAGAAGACAGGAACGCCCACTCTCTCCACTCTTATTAAATGGTGTTCTTGAAGTCTTAGCTAAAGCAATAAGACAAGATAAGGAAGTAAAATATATGCAAATAGGACAGAAATAAAGTATCTGTATTTGCAGATGCCATAGTTCTCTGCATAAGAGACCAAAAAGACCCTCCCAGAGAGCACTCTTGGAGTTGATAACTACTTTCAGCAAAGTGCCAAAATACAAAATTAACATACGAAAAATTGTCTTCCTATATATCAATAACAACTGCTGATGAATGTGGGGAAAATTGTCTCAGAGAAACACATTGAGATAAAGCTAACCAAGGAAGTTAAAGAGCTATCCAGAAAGACATTAGAAGATGAAAGGACCTCCCATGCTTATTGGAAGAATTAAATTGTGAAAATTTCTATTTTACTAAAAGCAATCTACAGATTCAATGCAATCCTCATCCCATCAAAATTCCAACACCATTCTTCACAGACATTAAAAAAAAAATCTTAAAATCCATATAGACACCAAAAGATTTGGAATAACCAATACAATCCAGAGCCAAAAAATTAATAATGCATGAGAAATCACAATATCTATTTCAAACTATACTATGGAACCACAGTAACAAAACAGCACACTACTGGAACAAAAACAGACACGCAGATCCTTGGAATGAAAGACTGAAATCTAGACCCACACATCTACAACCAGCTGGGTTTTGACAAAGATGAAAAACAATATTAGAGAAAAGACCGCCTCACCTACAAATGATGCTGGGGAAATGGGATGCCCACATGTAGAAGAATGAGACTAGATCCCCATCTCTCACTCTGCACAATAATCAACTCCAAATTGGAACAAACAAACAAAACAAAAGCAACCTTCTCGTAAGACCCCAAACTTGGAAACTGGGAAAAGCAAAGAAACCAAACAAAAAGAAATCAAACCAGCTAATCAATAAATGAAACAAAATGAACAGACAATTTTCTAGAGACGAAAAGCAAATGGCCAATAAACATATAAAATTACTCTCCCTCACTGGCCATGAGAGAAGTGCCAGTCAAAACTACTTTGAGATTTTATTTTACCGTAGTCAAATGGAAGTTGTTAAGAAAACAAGTGACAACAAGTGCTGGAGAGGCTGTGGACAAAAGGGAATCCTAACACACCGCTGGTGGGAATATAAACTATTCCAACCTCATGGAAATAAGTGTGGAGGTTCTTCAAAAAATTAAAAATAGATCTAGCACATAGCCCAGCTACACCACTTCAAGTCAACGTGTCACACACATACGCTTGCACATCAATGTTTACTGCAGCACCATTCACAACATCCAAGGTATGGAAGGAACCCTGGTGTCCAACAGAGGAATGGACAAAGAAAATGTGGTATCTATAAACAATGAAAAAAATTCAAAAATTCAACCTTAAATAATGACAAAATTATGTCATTTGTAGTAAAATGGAGACAATCACAATAAGTGAATAAAGTCAGTCTCAGAGTGGCAAGTGTTACTTCTCATTTGTGATCCCTAGATTTTATATAATTACCTAAACTCATGCCAGTCCACGAAAGCTGAAGTAAAAACACTCAGGGAGAGAAAGGAGACTAACTGGAGGGGAAGGGGAAGAGGCTCTGAGGGGAACGAATGATCAGAGAAGGAACTTAGGAAAAGCAAGTGCAGGGAGCCGTGTAGGAACGAGAAGGCAAATATGAGATCTAACACAGGATAGAGCTTAGGCACAGAAGAAAAAACACCAGCTGCAGAACCCTATTCATATGGGATAAAAGATCAAAGAAAACAAATAATGAAATTACAAAACGTAAAAATTGGAAAAAAGCAAAATAGAGGAGGACAAAAAGTATCCTATGGTCAGTTGATGTTTCAACTTTGCTGGGATGAATGTACCTCCCTGCACTGTGTTCCACGGCATCCGCCTCAGCTGCGTGCTTCACCCGCTTCAGCTGCGTGCTTCACCCGCTTCAGCTGCGTGCTTCTTTCTGGCATTCAGCATGAGCCCATCTTCCATAAATGCTTTTCAGTGTGTCGGAGGAGGAGCACCTGGGCTCGTGTTTAATCATTGCTGTTGGGGTGATCTTCCTGTCTTCTGTGGTATTTCCATGGTGTTGGGGTCCTCCCTAGGCTAGCTAGTGGAGGAGATGAGTCCCTGATTTGGGAGATGCCACAGTAGCAAATTTTCTGCTATCTGTTGGTGACAGTACTTCCTTTGTCCCAGCCTAAAGGGAAGTGGTAGAGCAGGCCACGACAGGCCTACTCAAGCCCCTACTCGGGGGCTGGGGAGTTTTTTAGGCAGACTTTTTTTTTTTAAAGACTTAATTTGACAAAGAAAAACCTTGTCATTGGGGAAGACACCTGCATGAAGTAAAATTTTGTTCCAAGTAACATTTGTAGAGACTGTGATCTAGAAAGTGGAGGTAACGATGTAAAATTCTGGTGGCAAGTTAACAGAGTAGTTGCAGGTGGTCAGCCGAGGCCAGCATTTAAAGAGGATGAAGGCCCTGTCAGTGGAGACTTTGGGGTAGCACTTGCAGAAATCTACTGTGCATGAACCAAATGGAACTGTTTTTACAAGCACTGTAAAGTTTCCTGTAGGAAAAGCATTTTTTATTTTCTACAAGCACGTTAACTTCAGAGCGACAGTGGCATAGAATACCAAACAGGAGAGCTTCCATGCCAGACAGCTAACTCCTTCATGACAATAATAAAATCTTTTTGTCTTCCCTTTTTTTGTGCTTTTTCTTTCTTTTTTCTCTTCTAATCAACCCTGTTGTTGTAGCTGCTTCTTAGCAAGACTGCGGAAAACTAAAATTGCAACCACTGCACACAACACTCTGGTAGTCATGATGGTTAAAGACTCCGTCTCCTGGAGACAGCACCATGTGACATTTCAGACACTGCTTAACAAGCAAGGTGCTCACAGATTTTCCTGGCTTAGAGATGTTTACAACTTTCCCAATCAGGTCCTCCTCACATTTTTCTTAAAACTAACCTAAGAAAAATGTTGGTTTTGGAGGGACTGTGCGTAGTCCAGGAAGTTCTACCCAATTTCATTCCATGCATCAAAATCCCACAAGGACTAAACAGACAGACACAATGACAGAACCTGGTATTGGGTCTCAAATTCTACTCTCCTGAGTGACACCCTCTGCAGTCAACACCATTTCCACAGCTGCTGGGGCAAGCTCACTTAGAATTCCCAGGGTTTAGTCTGAATGAACGATTCCTTAGCCCTCTGGAAAACCTAGAGTATATAAGTAGCAACCGTCAGAATTCATATGTATTATACAACGTACTGCTCCATTTGGGAAAGCAGTATTAAGAAATTCGGTTTCTTCCTGGGAATTCCGGTGTGTGCACCCTTGGCGAGAAGGCTTCATGAAGTTTTGAGTTGGGTCAAACCTACTGTGGTTCTCTCGAGCTTCAGCAGGGGAGCCAGGGCTTCTCAAAAGGCAGCAGCACCATCTGTCTTCAGCATGAAGCGTCCCTGGGGGACAAACACGCCATTCTTCCTGGAGTATTGTCAACTTTGGTCACACTCATGACTGAACGTTGCACATCTTTACAGCAGTTCCTCAGTCCCTTTGAAAAATAAGTGCAGCTTCCATCACCGTGAGACTAGCAAACAGCCAACCACCACAGAAAATCAACTAAATTCAATTTCTTCTCTCCTGCCCACTCTGCTACAGATTTTTCCAACTGTGTTACTAAAGTTCAGGGTCTTTCTCTTTTCCTATAATTTGATATTAACTTAGAAAAAAAGACTAATTAAAAACTTCCTGGTCATTTTTTGTGAGCAGAAGTTGAATATGAGTCTGTTGCAAATAGAGGTGGATAACGTTCAGTGTTTCATGGTTCACAGCTTTCCCATTTGATACGGTTGACCACGAGCTAGCTGCTGTGGCCAGCCATATTGTATAAGCCCAGCTGTAAGTGAACAGCACGACTCCTGTACAGAACTATGTAGGAATCTGAACCAAGGTAAGACTGCAAGGGAGATGGGTGTGAAATTCAACTCCACATCAGACATCTGGAGCCCAAGACACGGGTTGGTACTGTTAGCAAACGTAGCCTCGAAGTCCTTGAGATGGTCCCCCCCTTGCTGTTGCCCACTCTGCAGTTTTGAGGGGGACACACTATTGGCCAATCTGTGGGTTTCCTGACAGGAGCATGACAAGGGGGTGTCTGAGGCTTAAGACAGTGGCTGAAGCATATGAGGAAAAGACATAGATGAAGACAAACGTCTGTGTTTAAAAGGAGAAGCACTATAAAAATTACATGATGGAGCCAAAGCAAAAAAATAATCAAATAAATAAAATTCTATGGGGTCCCTTTTTAAAAATGGCTCCATAAATACAAAAAAAAAAGGACTATTAAAAAAATATTGTAAAGATGGCAATAGTCCCTTTTGTGTTTGTCCCTAAATTGAGGCTCTTTGTTGAGGCCACATGCTCTGGAAGGCTGGAAGGGCTTCTGCATGTAGCATCAGACAATCACGCGGAAGATCCCTTTCTTCACGGCCACTTAGCCTTACTTATCTTACTTTTTCGGTAGGGCTGACATGAGTGACTCCATTTTGATTCTGATAATGCCGTCTGATGTCTGATTGCCTCTGATGACATCGCTGATGGACCACCCTGTGGTTTGGTTGTCACTGCTGTAAGATAAATAAGGCGTTGTCAGAAAGCTGTGTCGGAGAGCACTCGCGAGGGCTTCAACCCTGACTGCAGCCGCTGTAACGAATCAGGACTGTGGACAGCAAAAGAGTTAGACCGGGCTCGGGTAGAGCCCTGAGGACTGTCAGCAGCTGCCAAGACACTCTAGTTATTCCCATGGCACATGGCATTTTAAGATAAAGATTACGATGGCCAAAAGCCTTAGAAGTTCCATACAATTTTTAAATCATTTCCATCAAGACCTAGAACATACCATTGTGAAACAATAGTTGGTTGTTTAATCAGGGTACAAATCAAATCATTAAAAAAAAATTTGTTTTTTCAAGGAGATACTTCAACCCCCACCTTCATTTTGGTGGCCATGGGGATGTTGCAGGAATCTTTCTGGATAAGCAGTCTGACAACAGTGACAGTGAAACAGAGCAGATGTCACCAGCGTACCAAAGCCAGGACAGCTCCTGAAAGGCCTCAGTCCAGGGTCCAGTTTCCACTCACATTTCACACACTAAAACCACAAGGAGGGGCGGGCTAGCAAGCAAGACTTTGCAGAAGCATGTGTGGCAGCCAGCAGGCTGTTATGAGCGATGACCCATTGTTTCAGTGACTTCCCCAGGTCGTCCTGGTCCAGGGAGCAATGAAGTCATGCTTGACAACAGGCAGACCAGCAGGGCTTCAAGTGAGTCACTAACTACATCAATAAATCAGTATCTAATCATTGTTGTGTTCTACCTTGTTCTACCGCAGGGATTCAACAACATTTTACCACTGAGCTATATTCTCTGCCTCATTTTTACTTTTTGAGACATTAAGTTGTTAATTGAAGTCTTTACTTACATGAAGATTCAAACAGAGTTTCTTGGCATTTATCATGTAGATACATCATATAACATTACCCCAAAAGTGGCTGATAGAAACACAGAGAGAGACAGAGACCAAGACCATGTAACGTTCATGTTAAAATTTCAGTCATAAGGCATCAGTTATGAGTCTCTGCAGTCATCACCATTCACTGAGAAATGAGGCTTCTACAATAAAGGCTAAGAGCAGCACTCATCTAAAACCAGATGGTGACATTCTTAATCTGATCAAGGACCTGTGTCTTAATGTTCTATTGCTGTGACAAAAACACCATGACTAAGGCAACTTATAAAAGGAAGCATTTAATTGGGGGCTTGCTTACAGTTTTAGAGGGTGAGCACGTGACCGTCATGGTGGGTAGCATGGCAGCAGGCAGGCCAACATGGCACTGGAGAAGTAGCTGAGAGCTTACATCTGATCCACAGGCACCAGGCCAGTGTGGGTGGGGCAGCTGGAATAGGATGGGCTTTTGAAATCTCAGTCCACCCCCAGTGACACACCTCTCCCAGCAAGGTTACACTGCCACGCCTGCACGGCAATTGGGCCCAAAACCTGGCGAGGGAAGTCAGGATGAACACAGCACACACCAGTCAAGTTGCAATCATCAGGACTCGCTTTATTCTTTCTTCCCCATCTTATATACCTTTTCAGGAGGAACAAACAAAATTGTTTATCAAGCACCCAGGGTCAAGGAATGGTCAGCATGCCCCAGGAAGCCACAGCTGCCAAACCATGAGATATACCAAACAGCAAAACATCCGCAGAACAGCCTGACCTCAGCGCACTCAGAACAGGGGAGGTGGGGGCAATCTTAGAGGGGTCAGAGCCATTCTGATTCCAACAGTTACACCTTCTAATCCTTTCTAAACAGTTCCACCAGCTGGGGACCAAGCATTCAAACATATGAGCCTATGGGGGGTCATTCTCATTCAAACCACCACAATCGGATAAAACAAAAACAGAAACTAGGTAAACGTACCTAGAATGTACATTTCACAAAAGATGTATTTTCCTAGACATGGTTAATACTAGTCCTAAACCAGAAACAAATGTCCAGAAACAAACAGATACTAATACAAGGGTGCTCTGAGTGTCTGAAAACCCACCCAGCTTTCTGCTGATGCCTTGTATGCTGCTCCGCATTTATTCAGAATTCAATAGAACAGGTGCATTTGTTAAGTGTATGTTAAGGGGGACTTTGTGTGTGTGTGTGTCTGTGGGTTTGCCTTTTCAAGCCCCTGCAAAACATGACTTGTGACCATTTCCTGGGAACCCAGGAGCGGTCCTGGCCAGAGTCCATCTTCCTGGCCAGTATTTAGTTAAAGCTTGCTTCAAATTTGGCTTAAGATTGTGGTAGTGGCCTCATTCTAGACTGGGGGATTAACAGTAGCAAGAAAGAAGTGTCTGTACAAGGCAAATTTTACTCACGATCAAGAGGTGCACTAGGAAGTGTAAACACACTTTGGGGGTGCAGTTGGTTTTTATTCTAACTTAGGTGGTGCCTGTGTCTTTTCTTCTTTGGCTGGGATCTGACCTCACAAGCTCATTCAACTGGCTAGTCCGAAAAGAATTGGTTTATAAACTGGGAAGTGGTGGTGCATGCCTTTAACCCCAGCACTCCATAGACAGAGGCAGGTGGATCTCTGTGAGTTCAAGGCCAGCCTGGACTACTGAATGAGTTCCAGGACAGCCAAGGCTAGACAGAGAAAACCTGTCTTGGAAAAATAAACAAACAAACAAAAAAGAATGGCTTACAGGAAATGGAGGAGGAAGGTGAAAGGGGTCACTGGTCCACTGGAAAAAAGGTCGCTGCTTCAGGCCATCAAATTCCTAGAACAGAGCCATGGGCCTTTGTGTAAAAGTTTTCCTGGGTGGAGAGGGTAAAAACATTGTATAAAAGCCTTCCAAGGTGGGGGAGATAAAAAATTTTTTTAATTCCTTGTCCTAAACACGTTTTATAGTATCTGATAGAAAAGACCATATTTGATATTTTTTACACCCCAGCCCCAAATGATGTGGCCTCAAATTCAACCTCTTTCTAGATGAATGGCCAGCCTCCCCACTGAGGACCTTCCTGTTTCCCCCTTCATGGTGGCTTTCCTTGCCTCCTAACTTCTGGCAGAGAGGTCCTCCCTCGCTGCCTAGCGTCTCTCATCTCCTTCATTCCTCCCTCACCTCGAGCCCGGACTTCCAGGCCACTCCTCAACTTCCCACCCAGTACCCAGTACCCGGGCTCCGGCAGTCGGCAGGACTCCAGGTGCCCGGCCCCGCCCCCATGTCGCGGCTGGAGCCCCGCCCACCCCTCCCATTGGCCCGGCCCCCAGCGCCTCTCCCCTCCCCCAGCCCGCGTGCGGCACGTGGTCTGCCCCCGCCCCCCGGGCCCCCCGCCGCCGCGCGCCCCCCAGTCCCGCCCCGGTGGAGCTGCCTCCTCGGTCGCTAGGTCTCCCGCCAGGAGGCTGCGATGGTCCCCGCAGGCGGCCACCACCGGCCCGATAGGCCTCCCGTGATCTACGTGACGCGCTTCGCCTCGCACCGGCCTGGCGTGTGGCCCTTGAGGGGCCCCCGGGGTCTCCGCCTTCAAGGCCCGGGGCCCGGGGCCTGCTGGGCCGTGGAGCGAGCCGCCGTGGAGAGCGGGCCCCCGGGAGGAGAGCTGCCCACCGGCTCCCGCGCCCGGGTCGCCGCCGCCGCCGCCGCCGCCACCCCGGCCTCCACCTCCTTCGAGCTGCGGAGGTCGGGGGCGTCAAGAGCACCGAGGGGCCTGGAGCAAGCGGCGCGAGCAGGTGGAGGGCTCCGCGTGTCAGAGGGCTGGTGCCGAGTGGGCGGCTGCTGCCGCCGTCGCGTGAACGCGGCCTTCAGTCAGTCAGGCTCGCGCCAGCCTTCCTTTCCGTGTGTCTGTCATGCCTTAGGTCAGCCTTCCTGTCAATTTCCTGTCAGACTTCCTGTCATCCCTTATGTCAGCCTTCCTGTTAGCCTTCCTGTCAGTCCTCGCACAGCATTCCAGTCAATAGGCAGCCAGGCTCAGCCCTCCTGTCAGTCTGTGTTGGAACCATCAACTAGGAAAATCCCTCTAACTTACCTAATGGGTGGCCTAAAAAGGGGCTGCAGGACATTTAAGATAACCCAGAGACCTAAGAGAAGTTCTTGGATGTAGCTGCTTCAGTCCCTCAGGGAGATGGGAGTTTGGCATGCTCGTTGGTTATTCTCACTGATTACGTGAGCTGGAGAGATGGCTCCGTGGGTTAGGAGCACTGGCTACTCTTCCAGATGACCCAGGTTTGGTCCCTAGCACCCATATGGCAACTTAAAACTAACTCCAGTTCCAGGGGATCTGACGCCCTCTTCTGGCCTCTTCAGGCATCAGGCACCTAAGTGGTGCAAAGCAAAACACTCATACACATAAGATAAAAATAAATAAATTGCTAATTACTTGATTGTATACACACACACACACACACACACGTATGTAGAACAGACATCTTGGAAGATGTTGAATCATCCTATTAAAACATAAAAGATGTAGTTCTATTTGCTCAATCTACTTTTGAACCTTTCAGGAATGTTTTAAATAATTTTAAAAAATGTATTCACATGGTACTCACACTTTTAATCCCAGCATTAAGGAGGCCGAGACAGGTGGATCTCTGAGTTTGAAGCCAGCCTGGTCTACATAGAGAGTTCCAGGACAGCCAGGGCTACACAGAGAAACCCTGTCTCAAAACAAAATTATTCATTATAGATTTTGCATAAATCTAGATAAATTTATTCCCTGGTATTTAATCTTTCCTATTGTAAGTGGGATTCCTTACTACATAATGCATTAGAAATGTATGCAAAGCCTATCATTTAAAATCTTTAGCAAGGATTAGTTTATGTGTGTTCTGAAGAGGTTTGCAGAATTACGTACTTCATACTTTACAGCCAAGGTACAGAACATTGCAGTCATCTCAAAAAGCTCCTCTCGGCCGGGTGGTGGTGGCAGACACCTTTAATCCCAGCACTAGGGAGGCAGAGGCAGGCGGATCTCTGAGTTCGAGGCTAGCCTGGTCTACAAAGCAAGTTCCAGGAAAGGCGCAAAGCTACACAGAGAAACCCTGTCTCGAAAAACAAACAAACAAAACTCATCTCCTTTGAGGGCATGGCCTTACACCTATACTTGGGTTTTTTTGTTTGGTTGGTTAATTTTTATTTTTTTGGGAGGTAGGTGGGTTTTTTGTTTGGTTGGTTAGTTGGTTTGGTTTTTGGTTTTCAAGACAGGGTTTCTCTGTGTAGCCCTGGCTGTCCTGGAACTCGCTTTGTAGACCAGGCTAGCCTCGAACTCACAGAGATCTGCCTGCCTCTGCCTCCTGAGCAATGGGATTAAAAGCATCTATCACCATGCCCAACTCACCTACACTTTTAAAAGCAACCTTATTGAGATTTTTATTAACAATTCACCCATTTATGGTACCCAAGTCAATGGTTCTTACATAGCCACAGAGTTGTGGATCCGTCATTAGCATCCATTTTAGCATACTTGGTACATCACAGAGAAACTCTGTACCTCTTAGCAGGCATCATGTCCCATCACCATTGCTTCCACTACCTACTAATCTTAGCCTAAGGAAGTACTAATCTACATTGTCTCAATAGATTTACTTACTTTGGACATATCTAAAGGGAATCTTTATATGTGGGCTTTTCTGACTGACTTCTTTTCCTTAGGCCTATTCAGTTTTGCATGTTAATTTTAGATCCTACTAATTCACTGGCCACTTTTTTATTATAGTTAGTTCCATCACTGATTCTCATGATTCTCATATATTTTCCAGTATATATTATTTGTGAATTTATTTTTGGAGACAGAGTCTCACTATGTGTCTCTAGCTGGCCTGGAACTCTCTATGTAAACCACGCTGGCCTTGAACTCACAGAGATCTACCTGCCTCTGCCTCCCAAGTGCTGAGATTAAAGATGTGCACCACCATGCCCAACTGGTGTATGTCATTTGTAAGTAAAGATAATCTTATTTCTCTTTTATTCATTTTTATGTCTACCATATTTTTTGTCTAATTATACTGGCTAATACATCTAGCTAGTGCAGGGTGAATAGTTGTAAAGATAATGGACACCTTACCTTGTTCTTATTCTTAGGAGAAATGTCTCTAGTGTTTCTACATTAAATAAAGTACTGGTTTTAGGACTAAGACTATATATTTAGAGTATGAAAAATTATATCTACTTTTATTATCTTCAGTAATTTTTTTTATTTTTTTTATAAATAGGCTTTATTATAAATAGGCTTTAAATTTTGTCAAAGGCTTACTGTGATCTATGGAGATAATGTTTTTCCTTAGAATTAGTAATATGTAATGTGATATATATAAATAGGTTTCCAAATATTGAACCAATCTTACAGTGTTGAAATAAATTTCACTTGCTTGTGTTGTATTATTTTTTAATATACTGGCAGGCTCTAATAATAAGTTGCCTAGAATTTTTTTATTGACGTTCATCAAATATAGTGACCTGTATTTTTTTCTTTGTACTTCTTTACTTGATTTCGATATTGGAGTTATATTTACTTCATACAAATAATTGGGAATCTTTCCTTCCTTTTTATGTTCTAGAATAGTTTATGGAACATTGGAACTACATAGTCTTGATAAAATTCTGCAAAACCATCTGAGCCTCAGGTTGTGTGGGATAATTTCTTAATTTCCTCTGTGCCATGGAAACTGGTTTGTTTGTAGTTTCTGACTCTGAGACATCAATGTTTGGTAACATATATTTTCTTAAGCAATTACACACTTCATCTAGGTTTCCACATGTGTTTCCACTGAGGCCTGCAAACTAGTGTGTTTTAAAGTTTACCCAGCCTTAACGGTCATTCCTCCCTCAATAATTTGTTTCTGTTTTATGTATGTAGGCATGCACTTTCTCCCTTTGTACTGATGACATTAGTATCTTGTTTATTTTTAAAAGAAGATTTTGATTTATTACTTAAGCATTTTTTCTTGTTTCTTCCTGATTAGTACCAACTTCTTAACCTTTCTTGTGCTTTCTTCTTCTTATACTAAAAATTGGGTATTTTTATTTTTTAATAATTTCAAAATACATTTCAATTTTTTTCTTATATGTTGAACATACCCCCAAGCCCTTACCCAGTTCCCTTCTTTCAACCCTTCTTTTATTCCCTTAGACAATTTTACTTATTTTCATTTAATCTATATACACATAATTTTATGTGACTATATAAAATCTAAGAATGACAAGTGAGAGAGAGAATGCCATACTTATCTTTCTGAGACTAGCCTAATTTCTTTTTTTTTTTTTTTTGGTTTCTCGAGACAGGGTTTCTCTGTGTAGCTTTGCGCCTTTTCCTGGAACTCACTTGGTAGCCCAGGCTGGCCTTGAACTCACAGAGATCCACCTGGCTCTGCCTCCCGAGTGCTGGGATTAAAGGCGTGCGCCACCACCGCCCGGCGACTAATTTCTTAATATGATTATGTCCAGTTGAATATATTTCCCTGAAAACAGTGTAACTTCATTCTTCGTTATGGATAAAAAAAAATCTGTTGTTGGACATAAAGGTTCTTTCCATAACATAGCTGTTATGAATACTTTTGTATAAACATTGATGTTCAAGTGTCTCCATGATATGTTGACCTGGGTTTTTTGGATAAATACTCATTAGCTGGGCTATATTATCGATGTTTTTTTTTAATTTTTTGAGGAACCTCCATACTGATTTCTATAGAATTTGGCCTGATTTACATTTCCACCAGATGTTTATAAGGATCAGGATTCCCTTTGTCTACATCTGTGCCAGAATTTATTGTTGTTTTCCTCTTAATTTTTTTAAAATTTATTCATTCATCCTTCCATCTTTTTATTACATGTGTGTGTCAGCCATGTCATGTGTGTGCATTAGGAAACAACTTGCAGGAGTCGGTTCTCTGCTTCCATGTGGGCATCAGGGATCCAACCCAGTTTGTCAGGCTTGGTGGCAAGGGGTCTTTACCCTCTGAACCACCCTGCCAACCCTGTTGCTTTCTTAATGATTGACATTCAGACTAGGGTAATATGTAGTACCAGTGTGATTTTAATTGGAATTTCTCCAACGGCTGGTGAGGTTAAGAGGTTTTTCATATGTTTATTGATGGTTTCTATGTCCTCCTTTCATGATTTCATTGTTTTTGGTTGGGTTGCTTTCTTATTGGTCAGGTTTTCAGTTCTGTGTGTATTCTACTTACTATACCTATATCCTGAAGTATCTTCTCCACTTTTTCCAGTTTCAGATTTTATATTAAGGTTTTTTCCCCAATTTGGAGTTTTGGTTTTTTTTTAATTTTTTTATTTTTATTTTGCAATACAATTCAGTTCTACATATTAGCCACGGATTCCCTTGTCCTCCCCCCTCCCACGCCCCTCACCTTCCCCCCAGCCCACCCCCCATTCCCACCTCCTTCGGGGCAAAGCCTCCCCCGCGGACTGAGATCAACCTGGTAGACTCAGTCCAGGTAGGTCCAGTCCCCTCCTCCCAGGCCGAGCCAAGCGATCCTGCATAGGCCCCAGGTTTCAAACAGCCGACTCATGCAATGAGCACAGGACCTGGTACCACTGCCTGGATGCCTCCCAAACAGATCAAGCCAATCAACTGTCTCACCCATTCAGAGGGCCTGATCCAGTTGGTGATCCCTCAGCCATTGGTTCATAGTTCATGTGTTTCCATTCGTTTGTCTATTTGTCCCTGTGCTTTATCCAACCTTGGTCTCAACAATTCTCGATAATTGGACTCCCAGAGATCCACCCAACCCCATCCAACTACTGAGGGATCTGGATGGAATTGTTTTTTTGTGTAGGGTAAGAAGTGGGGACTAGTTACTGTCTTCTACATGTGGGTATCCATTTCCCCAGCACCATTTCTAGGTGAGGCTGGCTTTCCCCAGGACTGTCTTCAGCTTTGTCAGAAATCAGGGACTAGCTGTGTTGGTTTCCAGCTGGACTTCCTGTTCTGTTCCATCATTTTACATGTCTTCAGGACCATGCTGTTTTTGTCACTGTGACTCAGTCATGTGACTTACATGTATGTTGATAGTATCAGCATTATTCTTTTTTTGTTCAGATTGCTTTGCCTCTCCTGGATACTTTATGCTTTCAAACGAGTTTTAATATTGTTGTTTTCTACTTCTATGAAGAATATTGTTGGAATTTTTATCAGGTGTGTGTTGAATATGTAGATTGAAAATCAGGCATTTCATTTACTTTTTAAAATCAGGAAGTATTTAGTATGGTTTTAACCACTTTTAGTACCACCCACACATCTCAATATGTAATATTTCCACTGTTGATTTTTAAAACGTTCTATAATTTCATTCTAATTATTCTTTTCACACTGATACTGCTTAACATATTTTAAAGGTTTTAAATCCTGGAACCTTCCTATTCTTTTGGTTTTATTAGCGCTTTCTAGTTTTATTGTATTGTGACCAGAGAATGGTGTTCCCAGTGTCTCTACTGTCTTACAGGTTACTGGTGTTTGCTTGTAACTCAGTTTATGACCTCTCCCTTCCCTTCTTCCAGAAACCATGCCAGGATGACTTTCCTCCAGAATCCTGCTTTTCCCTTTCACCTGAGTCTGTCTCATCCAACTGCTTGCTTGGTACATTGTGTGGGATTTGGGCCTTTAGATTACATACTTAAATACCTTCCCTGAACTTCATGTTCTGATCTGCCTTGTTATTTATTTAGTTAGTTAGTATTTTCAGATACAAAATGGATTTAATTTGGCTTTGTAGCTGATAAGAGGCTGGAAGACTGCTTCAAGGCAGTGGTAGTAGTCCAGTAGAAATTGAAAGGCTAGAATTAAAGCTGTAGAGGTAAAGGGGCAGAACTGATAACTGATTGGAAGGGAGACGGAAGAGTTGAGGCTGTGGCTGACATATCTGCACTGGGCCACTGTGTGAATAGCAAAGCTATTAACTTCCATGACCTCCTTGCTGAGCTTATAAAACCAGGAATGCATTTAAGGGGTGGGTACCCTGAGATAGACGTGCACCTGAGCTAAGCCAAAGAGTATAAAGTACTTAGGTTTACTTAGTCTTGGTTTTATTTGATTAAATTATCATCGTCATCATCACCATCATCATCATCATCATCATCATCATCATAAAATGTCTGTGGGAAATAAAAATGAATTATTCATCCATTTAACAACATTTAGCATCTACTGTGTTATAAACATTAGGTCAAATGCTAATGGCAAGATGGATCAGGTGACTATTCTGTACTCCAAGGACTCCCATGTGAATAATTGGTATATAAGTCAGTAGGTGTGAGTGCTATAAGAAAGAGACCTGATAAGGACTTTGATAATCAAGTTCAGGGACAGAAAGAGGGACAAGACAGGAAATCAAGAAGGCAAAATTGGAGAAATTTCTGGTGGGATTATCAAGAGCATTGGCTTTGAAGTCAGACAATCATGGCTGTGTTAATTACTGGAAATATAATATTGCCCATTTTAGTTATCCAGTCTGATTCTTAAATTCATCACCTTTCAAGTGTGGATCATAGTTTCCGCCTCAAGGGGTTGCTGTGAAGATGGGGTGAAGCAGCACATACGGAGCACCTAATGTGGTGTTTGACGTGGAATAAGCACCCAGTAAATGTTGGCACAGTGAGCCCAGATGGCTTGAAGGAACAAGAATGACTAACAAAATTACTAAACGTTTACTGAATGAATGAAAAACAAGTTTTTGATTAAATCGTAGAGTGATTTTCATTTCTATAAACCCTAAAGATGTTTAATTGGTGGGATGATGTCATCCTTGTGAAAGTCAGGCTGGTAAGCCATCCTCAGATGTGCTGGTATTTAGAAAGCCAAGGACAAGCTGCAGGCAAAGCTAACATTTCAGGCAAGACTAATAGATCAGGCTGGTTCCCTCTCACCGTGCTTGAGAGATAGTCGTATGTTACAACTAATTAAAGATGAATAATATATTATGGAGGTGTACAGATGAATACTTTGGAAATGGTGAATGATCTGGGGATAACAGAGTCAAGGAAAGTATCATGGTAGAGAAAGCTATTTGAGATTTTCACATGAGACTGAGAGATGGACAGGTTACAGGTAGAGAAATGTGTGAGCAGATGGTTGAGGAAGGATGACGCTTGCCAGTGACCAGGAAAGAGCTACAAGTACAGCATGCTAGGGTCAGAGCATAGACAGCAAGAACCAGAGGAAGATCAGAAGTGTGAGCTGGGACTAAATCCATGGTGTAACATACACCGGTGCCCAGTCACAGGAAAGGAAGAAATGGAAGAAAAGTTTTTCTTGTGCACATGTGTTATACTTCTTGCTGTATTTTTAGACAGATTCCATGGCCCCTCTCTTACCTTAAGAATGTAGGTACAGACTAGATAAGACTTACAAGTAGGAAACAGTGGGAACAATGAAAACATACCACCCTGAAAGCTGTGGTGTTCAGAGGGGAAGATAAACATGAGCAGAGCCTGTCAACTTGACTTGTCATGCCATATCTGCATGTGTGTGCTAGTGTACTTAGTGTATTTATTTCAGTAAGTAATTTTCTCCTCTTAGCTAAATTTCATTAGAACACTACTCATGTGTGTTTGCTAAGAAGAGAAAATAGTTACAAGTTAATAGTGGCAAAACAATATTGTTCAATTGTAGTAAATAGGTTTCCAGCTAGAAGGTGTCTGTGTCATACAGCAAGTCTTGAAGATCTCTAAATGATGTGTGGACAAACTCAGACTTTCTCTGTTACTGGAAGACTGGAAGAGTTGGCAAGGGAAGGGTTTCTCACAATGTGACTTAATTAAGTTCCTTCATCCTATGTCTGTGTCCCACTCAGAATCAGTGGCATGTGCCTCACATGCCATTTGGGAACACATTTTAGTTCATTCATCAAATGTAATGTATTATGTACCTAGTATCTACAAAATAGAAACTGGATTGCCAGAGAGAAAAATACACTTCTCGGGGAAACTGTGAAGTTCTGTGACAACCCAGCATGGTTTGTAAGATCCAAGAATGTTCCCTGGAAATCCAACTGTTGAATGTCTAAAGGAAAGCCAGGTATAGAGGGTAGTATGTCAGGAATGAGTGGGGAGATTTAAGGTAAGTGTGCTAAAGGCAAAGGGGAATCAGAAAGTTCTCCAGGGAGCATGTGCTTATTGCTGTTTTCAATAAGAGATATCACCTAGTTATCATATAACACCAGCATGAACATCCCCCAAAGAGCTTCTGAGACATTATTATGGCCCCTGTTTTCAGATAGTGCTTTTTAAAATATGTACTAACTTTGAAATCTTTTCCTTTCTAAAAAAAAAAAAAAAATAGGTTTAAACCAGAATAATGCAGCTAAAGAGTTTGATTTCCCCATACCACTGAATGAGGCCTCCAAAATAATGAAGGAAAGGAAAAAGGTATGTTGCTATAAAGGAAAATTAACAATGTTTAAATTTTAGACCTTCCTCTGTGAGTATAGTGTACAAAAGTTTCCAGGACAGTGAAAGTAATTCCATCTCCTGAAAAACTTAATTTTCTGAAATGAGGAAATAGGAGAAACTTGGCAAAATTGAACTGAGCGTGGAAGTATTTATTAACTATGAAGAATAGTTCTGGTATATGAAGGTATAAAATGCATTTTAATCAAAATATAACCTGCCAGGAGATCTTTTTCAAAGCATACCCTGTGTTCCATAGAGTATTACTAACTGCTATATATAAAGAAGTATAGGAAGAAAATCGCAGACTTCATAGGAAAGAATCCATCTACATTGGTGTCATGTTGCTCTTTCCAAAGCAAAGAACCTGTGTGACTGTTTAGCCAGAAAGATGACAAAGATGAACTTTATTGCTGAACCCTTTGTACCACTGGTCGCCAATTGTCATGGTAACTCGGGCATTTTGAGCATATTTCAGATAAGTGGCTGTGCTTATCTATGATTGCCATTTTACTTTAAAGAATTTATTAATTGAGCATGACACATAAATTCATGTTTGTTTGGTGTGTAGCCCATGCACGGTCTAAAGCAGTGCTCAGGGCGACTAGCCCTTGTACCAAAGATATCTGAAGTAAGTAGCAGTCTTCCACTACACTAAGACCTCCTTCATTCCATAGCCGATTCTTTCTGGGTAAGGAGAAAAGAACATGGCCAGTGCTTACCTCTAAGCATCGTGTGCCATGCACTGGGATAAGTGATTTGCATACATGCCCTTCATCCTATTGTTCAGTATGTGAAGATGTTTCTAGATGACATTTAAATGCTTGTCAAATGTCAAACTGCTAAACAGGAAAAAAAAAGTCTAGATGTAGCTATTTTTTATAGGGTTTTTTTTTTCTATTCCAGTATATTCATAATCTCTAGTAACTTTGGCTGACTGTCTCCTAGGAGAACTAGTTAATTCTTACCTAGAATGAAATACATTATAAACAAATCTCTGCCCAGTGTAAACAGAGGAGTAGAAATTCAGTATTTTTAGTACCTTTTGAAAATTGAATGTGCTAAGTGGTTAGCAAGACTTTGCAGACATTTTTTTTCCTTTTGAAAGGCAGCAAAATCCAGGAGAACTCATTTAAGCACTGCAGGAAGGGAACTCAGGAAAACTGAAAAAGAAGAGGTCAGACACGTTAGTGACCCCTGGGGGACATTGGCGGGCTAGTTCCGCAGTGCATGACTTCACGCTGATGATGTGGACTAACATGCAGCCCAGCAGAATCTCTCTGGATTACCTCCATCCAAAGGCATTGCACTTTTGTGCCCAGTGTTCCTTGACTGTGTTTATCTTTTTAAGGTCTTAGTGTGGAAAAAAGTACACAAAGTAATTTCCAGAATGATTGCAGAAAATGAAAAATACAGACACAGACTGAAGTGCCAAAATTTATCTAGTGAAGTAAGTCAACACATTTTAAATTTATTTAAAAAATGAAGTTATGTAAGCATTGTAGCTTACCTTGGATTGCATTAGATTTCTTAACTGCCGATATTAAAGTGTAGGAACATCTGAAAGCATAAAGCCATGCTCAGGCAGGGGATTCAGGGTAGAACCTGAGTATATATGTAAGGGTGCAGAAGGCAAGCATTGGCTGGAATTTTCTGAGCAAAAAACACACATGTCCATTAAATGTATATTTGAATGTCAGTCTTTAAACACAAGTTACAGAACACCATGTTAGTGAAGAACATGTTAACTCTAATATAAAACTACACATTATATCAACTTCTTGTCATTTCCTTCCCATGGATGCTTCATGCCAGTGTAACTCATTTAACAGTCTGCCCTTGGCACAGCCTCATTCCTGGAAAACAACTCATGAATTGAATCTTGGCCTAAGTCTGCACCAGCGTTTAGTAACTGATACTGTGGCAAAACAGTGAAAAGCTGCAGGTTTTCAGACTGGCAGTGTGGCTCAGCGGGTAAAGGTGCTTGCCAACAAACCTGATGACCTGAGGTCAATCCTCAGGAACCACATGGTGGAAAGCAAAAAGCAACACAAGTGGTCTTCTGACCTCCCCAACACACACACACACACGCACACACACACACACAGAGTAAATAAATGTGATTTTGAAAGTTACAAAAAGGAAGTTGTTGGCTTTCAAAATATTAACTGGAACAAAATTAGCATAACTAATAATGAATTGCTAAATCAAAATGGTTGTTTTCATTTCTTCACATATAGAATATGTCCTGTCACAGTAAGTAGGCTTCTGTGAGGTCTCAGTACTTAATGACAACTTTTGAGTCATTAAATTTACAGTCTTTAATTTGTGAAGAATGCCTTAATTTTGTAAGTAATATAGTTGTAGAATGCTGCACTAATAGCACATTGCTTGCAGTGGCAGCATGCAAACCATGTCCACACTCACAGCACTCCAGTTCACTCTTGGTGTCCAGTAAGAATGGGGTTGTGTTGGGAGGCAGTAGGAAGGAGGAACATAGTCAAAGTGTCTCAGAGAAAAAGGTGTTTGAACAGCAATATGCAGAGAAGCTGGGCAGTGTTCTACTCACTGTGGACCCTTGGACTTGGCAGGGTCTTTTGAACCTCAGCTTTCTATGAATCCAAAATCATCTGGTAAAAATTATATGCCAACTTAATATGCCAGGCTTTCCAAAATAATATAGACAAAAGGTATCTTTCACATTTGTTATTTTACCTTAAGTTTTGAACTGCATTACATAACTGTTTATAAAGCTAATATGTTGCAAAAGTGTAATGTAATTTTTATCTCTTAATATATATTTGTTGACAAAAGTAAGTGTTACAGGCCAACTTGAACTTCTCTTATGTTGTTTCTAGATTCGAGTTAATACAAGGTGAATGTGAATCTTCCTGTCGTCTCTGGTGAGAATCCACTGAGATGACTGATGAGACCTTTCCCTCCCTTTGTATCCTGCTTTCTCTAACCTTTGGAATTAGCCTATTGTTACTTCTAACCTGCTTCCTTCCGTAACCCAGTGTTTGGCACATAGCACACCTTGTTAAATTTTGTTTGACATTTAAATTTTCACTTAGGCCCCATCTCTGTTATGCCCTTGAAACTACTCTCTCCATGATCTTATCTCCATGAAATATGTGTGTGTATGTATGTATATATATATATATATACACAGACATGTGAGTGTGTGATTTTTCTTGTTTTATATGTCTCTGCTCTGCTTTGTTTTCTATCTCTTGGAATGTGTTGTCATATGTAATATGACCTCACCACTCCTCTCTTAGTTTGCTACAGTCATGTCATGATTCTCATTCTGTCCCTCTGACTGCATTTTCATTCATTTTTAAGTTGCTGTCCTAGGAGTAATTACTCATACTATCATCTCTTCACACATTCACTTCCGAACAACTCACTGTCTTTTATAGCCTTAGCGACTATTTCTATCCTCCCCATGGCCTCTGATAGTTTCAGCTATTCCATAGGTACTTACACAGTCTACAGTCTACATGAGCATATAGTCTCCCCTTGCTTTTTAGTTGCCCCTGGTTTCCAACCACACGGCTTCAATTCACATATAGATGAAGAAAACTTCATCCAGTTTTCTGAGTCTTAATTTACAAAGACAATCAGACTTTGTAAATGAGAAGATGAGGCCAAAGCAGTGTAAGGAAAGTGCATTTTAGACCAGAACATGGGCTGAGACAGTGTCCGTGAGAGGATGGGTTTCCTCATTTCTCTTACAAAGCTATTACAAAATGGAAATATGCAAAATTCTCATGAATGTCAGGTCGGTACAATAATTCGAAGTTTTATTTCTTTCCTAGCTACAACTTAATCACTTCATGAGATTCCAACAACCTTGGAATGTGGTTGTGTGTTCTTCAAGTGACTAGTAAATCCTCCTGCTTCCATCTGGGCAAATGGCCTAGGCTTTGCATGCATCTGAGAGCCACAGTTTCCCTGAATACAGGCTCATCCAACTTCTTTGGACAGTGCTAAGTAAAGTTTCACGTTGCTTCATCCCTCAACGAAGTTTCAAATGTTAGTTCACACAACTTAAATATATTACCAAATGGAGCATGTTTATAAATTTGACTGCATGACATTTTGTGGAGAGTGTGGACAGAGCTTTTCGGTGTAGTTCAACCTTATACTTATGTTTATGTGACCTGTCAACTCTTCATGGAAACACAGCCTGTTTTGTCAGTTCTGTCAGTGTTTATTCATGTCACTGTATGGGTGTCATGCTAGATAGTGTCCTGCGTTCTAGAACAGTGCAGCTCTAAAGACTTTCATGGAAATGAATGTTCTAAATGTTGTATTTATTGTTTAATAAATTCTGGTGAAATATATTAAATCTATTTTGTTGAACAGAATATAAATACAATGTGAAATTTCTTCTGAAATATCATTGAATACCAGGTGTGATATCATGACTTGTTCAGTGTTTCAGATTCTATCAGGGTGATGACCTCTTCATTAAAGCCTGAGACTACAAGTTTCCAGCTTGGGGACATATCTACTGAGCTATGGAGATAAGATTTTCACATTTCCTCCTTTCTCTCCATCTCGTCTTCATAAGTCTTGCTTCTGGTATCTATTCCTGGTTCTTCTTTTTCTTTGCTTAAATCAAAGAAGTTTTATTTTAGCCCAGTAGTCTGTTCTTGTGGCACTGCATTCTGAGAAATGCGCCACGGATGATTCTGCTATCTTATGAGCATCATGGAGTGCACTCACACAAAGCTAAGTGGCTTGAGTCATCACTGAACATGGCCTGCTGCTGCAGTAAGGATTTCCATAAATGTAGGATGATCCTGCTGCCTGTGTAATGGGCATACTGCTTTAAACTAAAAACTTTCTTATCAGTAAAAGTAATACACATTAGTGATGAAAACAGAGTATGTTGACTAGATAAAGCAGTGACATTTATTATCAAATATCACAGACCTTTGTGTGCTTCTGGGAATCAAATGCAGCACTCTGCCACTGAGCATATCTGCAGCCCTGTGCTACCTTCTGTGTGACTGGTGGTACAGCAGGCTTGCCCAGCACCACCACAAATAGATGAGCAATGCTTTGTGGTAGATAGCCTTGGCATCCCTGATGTATACACTTACTGAGCAAAGTATTGTAATGTGACCTGTGATTCTATTTGCAACATCTGTTTTATGTTCTCCAGAGATGTTCCATGCCCAAGTGTACAGTGTGGGGAGTGGAAAGAGGAGATCTAATGGTTTCAGTGAAAACTCTGGCAGTTGAAGAACAGAGAAGAAACATTCCCCCAAATAAGTAATTAGCCAGCTATTTATCCTGGGCCACCCAAATGATGTAAAGCATGTCTTCAGTCATGGGAGAAAAATAACAGAATTTTTCAGCATAGGAACTAATTAAAGATCAGGATATTTTCATGTCTAATGTAACCTGAAACAAGATTAGCATTGGGGGAAAGTCTGAAGTCTTAGAAAACAGTGGTAGAATAGATTTGAGATTGGAAGGTGGAGCCCTGGGGGAGGAGGGAAGCTACACTAGAAGAACCTTTTACTCCAGGAAGGGTATGAGGCTGGAGTGCTACTGCAGGGTAAGAAAGTTTCCAGCTTGGATACCATCTATGGGAGCTGTGGAACTATGCTCTTCACAGTTCTTCCCAAAGGGGCACAATGGCTGATGGCTGCACTCTAAAGCAACCACCGCATGCCTGTGAGGCCATTCTTCCCAACAAGCTATTCCTATCTATCAGTGATTGGACATCACAAAGACATTGAGACAGACACCCTTTAGGGAGCTGGACCTCAAAGACTGCCCACTTCCTTTGCTGAAGAAACTCTTACAACTGAATCAGAGAATGTCTAACACTTTCCCTATCCACCCTTCTTCCCTTCCCTCTCTTCTCTGTCAATACTAGTCGTCCACAGTGGTATAATGGTTGGAGGTGCACAATTCAACCATATATACTAGTCCATGGTATAGATATGCATGGTGTGTGGCGGCAGGTCTGCTTTGCCAAGTCTAGGCCCCAGTTGGGAAAATCTGAGTCTGTAGAAGGTGTGATGATGGCATTGTGGCATAGACTCCTCTGCACTCTCAGAGTTTGCGTAAGTGATCCACTTTTGACTTGTGCTAGAAGCAACCATGTTCCCACCGAAGAGGAGTAGATATACCTTTTCCAATCCTGCCCAGATCATGAAAACTAAAAACTTTGACTTTTGTATATAAGACAAAAATAGACTAATATCTTAGTTTCTTTTCTATTGTCATGAAGCATGACAACAGACAGATAGGCATCAGCTGAGAGTTGTACATCCTGGAGCAATACCTGAAAGTTTTACATACTGATCCATAGGCAACAGGCAGAATGACAGAGAGACAGACAGACAGACGGACAGACTGGGCCTGGTGTGGGCTTTTGAAACCTCAAAGCCCTCACCCAGCAACCCTCCTCCTCCAATAAGAACACCTACTCCAAGACCACACCTCCTAATCTTTTCCAAACAGTTCATCAACTGGGTACTAATAAGCATGCAAATGTATGAGCCTATGGGGGCTATTCTCTTTCAATCCACCACATTCCACTCTCTAGCACCTTTAGACATGTAGCCATATCATAATGTAAAATGCACTAAGTCCAACATCATGTCTCCATAGTTTTTCAGTCTTAAGACTGAAAGTTCAGCTGGGCAGCAGTGGTGCATGCCTTTAATCCCAGCACTCAGGAGGCAGAGGCAGGAGGATCTCTGTGAGTTCGAGGCCAGCCTGGTCTACAGAGTGAGATCCAGGACAGGCACCAAAACTACACACAGAAACCCTGTCTCGAAAAAAAAGACTGAAAGTCCAAAGTCTCTTTTGAGATTCAAGGCAATCTCTTTAACTGTAACAACACCCTGTAAAATCAAAAAGCAGATCCCAGACTTCCAACGTATAATGGCACCAGATATACACTACCATTCCAAAAAGGAGGAAAGGGAGCATAGTGAGGAAATACTGGGCCAAAGCAAGACGGAAACCCAGCAGGGCAAACTCCAAATTCTGCATCCATGTCTTAACATCAAGGCATTCTTCAGATTTCCAATTCCTTTGAGTTGTGTTGACTGCAACATACTTCTGTCTCTTGGGCTGGTTCCACTTCCTGTTAGCAGCTCTCCTGGGCAGATATCCCACAACTCTGACATCTCCAACTTGGGCTTTCCAGTGCAACCCAGACTACAGCTTCACTCAGTGACCTCTCCAGGCCTCCATGCAGTGACTCTCCCTGCCAAAAGCCTGGCCTCAGCCGCTTCGCTTAGTAGCAGAGAAAAATTCCACAACACCTTTACTTCTCCTGCATACTTTACTCTAAAGTCAGACCACATGACCAAAGCTGCCAAGTTCTACTGCTTGCTGGAGCTGGAACTTGGCCCCCTAGTTCAATTACATTTGTATCAACTTTCTGTCCAATTACATTTGTATCAACTTTCTGTCATTGATGGTTCCCTTCACTGCTAATCCTTCCCTGACAGCTCATCAGCTGGGGACTAAGCTTGCAATATGAGCCTATGGGGACCATTCTTGTTCAAACCAGTATAACTAGGAAAGATACAAACAAGAAAACAGTCTGGAAACAGGACAATTTCCAGTTGTCTTTCCACCTCAGGAATGTGTGATGACACTTAGTCTCAGCTGTACCCTCTAGGGAGATAGGCTGGCTGGAAACTGTATCTTTAATTTCCATAGCACACTCAGAACTGTTAAGGGCAATGTTTCCAAGCTCACAGAAACAATATTGGTTTAAAATTACAAGTGAAAGCAACCCGTATCATACAGGATATACAGATATCATTTGTTTCTGGTGCTGAAGGCCACCTGGCAATGTCAAGCAGTGTTCAAAAAAGTTGTCATTCTGTGGTTCACCCAGACCAATGTGAATCCGGCATCTATCTATCTATCTATCTATCTATCTATCTATCTATCTATCTATTTATTTATTTAAGTTTTTGGGTTTTTTTGTGGGGTGGGGGTGGGGGGTCTTTTGCCTGCATGTATGCCCTTTGCACCACATGTGTGCCTGCTGCCTAAGAAGGCCAGAAGAGTTACAGATGGTTATGAACCAACCTGTGGGAGCTGTGAATTGAACCGGGTTCCTCTGCAACTGCTCAGGGCTCTTTTCCAAGTTTTGAAAATGTTCTCTTTCTTCCTTTTCCCATTTGAACCATGTGGCTTGAATAAGGTTGCCACTGTCCTATAAACATCATTCCCTTTGTTGGAAGTCGGCCCTGACTCCTGAGACCCTCAGAGTCTTTCCTCAGCACCAAAGAAATCAAGCCTCTAATTCTTTAGGATAATGAAGATGCTTTTTTTTCTTTTTATTAATTTACTCTTTGAAATTTTCATACATGACTATAATACATTCTGGTCACTTTCATCCCTCCACTATCCATCCCCTCTCTTTGTCTTGTCTATGAACACTTTACTGTCTACCTGGGATCGAATCTTTAGCACACTATGCATATGATTTTGGCTAAGCTGTTTAATCTATTTGTGCCTAAGTCTTCTCTTTGTGAATTGAAGACATGACTGACACTTCCTTAACCACAGCAGGTCATTATAAAGCCCAGATGAGCTAAAACACGGAAAGTGCTTCTAACAATACATGCAATACAAAACATTCACTCTCGTTACTACTAACTGAAAAAGCCTAACTATGTAGCCCAGGCTGGCCTCAAACTTGCACGTGCTGGTATTAGGCAGAGGAGAAACCCTTCCTGCTTTCTGTTGAGTTCCCCATGTATTTTGTCCCAGCAATGGAGCACTAACATGGCATTCACTTCTACTACTCATTTAATTCCTTTGTACGTTTAGGTAGAGGCTCATTTCCATCATCAATACCCGTTTATTACAGTGTCACTCTTGATAGACTACTACCTCATCACTGAACTGCATCAAGTTTGGGTTTAGTATATAATGTATTGATTTTATTAATTAATTTAAAATTTGTTTTCATCTTCCTGATTTCCTGAGGTTTTGTTGCAATTACTGTTCTCTTTTTAATCTCTTGCAACAAATACCTCCTTTATTTTTGCTTCTTTTACACTTGAAAGAAGTAATGATATTACTTCAACTCTGAATATTGCTACCTTTACATGATCATTTTTGAGGTGTTTTATAGTTGGTTATTTGTTTCTATGTTTAGTAAATTGATTTGGCTTTCTTTTCATTACTAAATTATTAAATTTTATTGTTACTCAATGTATATAATTTGCAAGTAGAATTGTCTGTATATTTTCTGCTTTGTGAAATATATTAATTTTTTGTAGCCTCACATATAAGCTATTCCTATTGGTATTCTCTGAACATGAGGCAAAGTCATATCTGCTATAGACTTATATATAAATATTGAATCATGTCTCTTACATTATTTAAAGTTGTGTCCCTGTCAATATGTTATGTGCTTGACCTGTCAGGAATGAGTGAGGCACGTTCCACC